GTGTTTGGTCATTTGCTTAACCTTAGGTTTCATAACGAAGCCAACTTTTCTTACCATTTTTTTATTAGCACGCTCGCATCAGTTTGGGGGTTTTAATATGATCCATATAATCAAATTAACATGGCCTAATCTACGATGCAATATTTCCATCAGAAGTAAGGATAAGGAATATCAAAGAGTCATGCATGCTCTAGTTTCATATGTCATTTCTAATGACATCCATGCCCTTTGAAATGCCACCATGGTAGAGCAGATATTCTACAGATACGTAAGGATAATGTATATTGCAAGGTGGTTCCGAACTCTTTGGTTACAGTAAGGCCACAGCAAATAAATTTCATGGATGACATCCTCCGCAGACTTCAAATCTAATTTGAGCGGGCAAAAAAAACAAAACAAGGCGGGTCCAAAAAAACAAGGTTGCTACATTTTAAACTTTTGACTAAATCATTGTACACATAGTTTTTATTCAGTGGGAACATCACATATACACAGCCAGCATCACATATCACTGCATCAAAGTAAGAAACAAAACGTTAAATCAGAGCCTTTTCTTTTCTCCTCTCTTTATAGTCTCAGCATGGCAACAGACATCTTTGCCCGTTTTCGGCATGTTGACCACAGTCAGAAGGCAACAAAATTTCTTTTTTTTTCCAAAATCAGGCGAACATTAATGCGTGCGCTGATGTTTTATTTATTTATTTATTTCTGTATTCTTTTACCAGGGTGGCACTACTCAGTGACATAGCACTGCTTTTCAGAGTGGCCCTGGGTACGACACATATATACACGGAAATACAACAATATTTACACCAAAACCAAATCATAATCGTGATCCATTACTCGTAATCGGGGTCATGCCAGGTCGTAATAATGTTATCCATAAAAATTACTTGCTGTGGCCTAACGGTTGCCCCAGACGAGCAAGCTGAGTTCTGGTGTACTATGTATAATATAGAAATGCTCTGAAAGTCTTATATACTACAAGTAAATAAGTGTAAGACTCCACTAGCTAACACAACTTTACCGTCCAAATTCCTTGTTCGAAATCTTTCTACAGTGACAGTTTCTTTCCCCATACGGCCAAGCTTTGGAATTCCCTCCCTGACCAGTGTTTTCCACCAACCTACAATCTACAGGCTTTCAAATCAAACGTTCACCGCCATCTCTTGACATAGCCATGTTTCTCTCATATTTCTAGTCCAATGCCGAGAAGTGGTCGCATAGGCCTTGCATTGAACCATTCCGTTAAAAAAGAGGAATTGTTTACATTTTCACGCTCGACAGTTCTACATATATAGCCTCCACGAGGACTTCCTACGGTGGTACGAATAATAGAATTCGACCAAAAAGTGAAATAATTCACCACGAGAGTCAGTCCATGGAAGGGTAATTTGCGTGGGAGGCTGAACTCCCGTGGCAAATTATTCTCCATATTTGTCTAAACTTTACTGATTACCTCCATGAAAAATGGAGGTATTGTTTTTGGCGTGTCTGAGTGTCTGTCTGTGTGTGTATGTCTGTGTGTGTGTCTGTGTGTGTGTTTGTGTTTCCGCACATTGTAGTCAGTATAACTTCATAACGCCTTTATGGATTGTGATGACATTTGGTCTGTTGATAAGTCTTAGGAAGACAAATGTCAAAGTCAAATATGGACCTCCTGGTGGATGACCTTGGTACTGCAGCAGAACTTCTGGTTTTTGTATCTTTGGTCCTGAACATGCTATGGTCTTGATTTTTTTGTGACAGATAGCTTATCCTGTCAGGAATAAGTGGTGTGGGTTTGGTTCCCCTAGTTTTGAACCTGCGCTGTTAGTCCGGTGGAGACTAAGTTCTACAATGTTCTACAGGCCAGATATTTGAGTTTGTCTCCAATAATGTCACAAACTGCAACTGTGACATTTTTATTGTTACTCTGACCAAAGTGTCAGAAATATTGGAATCAGTTTTCGGGGGATCATTTTCTCTTCCTACCAAAAAGGCTATGTTTTCTTCAAAGAAATATCTTACTTCCCTTTGTATTAGACACTTAAGCGAGAACTCTATAAATTACTAAAAATGTTCCAGGCGTCATCCTTGGATAGGATTATCTGGACTGAGAAACGTCACACACATTGAAGTTGACTTTGTGTGTCAATCTTTCGGAACATGTAGATTGACTATTGCGCACCGAACAGCCAAGCCAATGAATAAATAAGTTAGATAGGTCGTAATCCATCGCTCAACCGGGACGGGGGGCGATATCGACTTCAGACAACCTTTGACCCTTTGCTGACGTCACACGTGGGAAAAATCACGTGTCCACAGCATTTGGGTCAGATAGCTGAGGAAGACTGAGTGATTCAGTCAAAAATTTCTGGTGAGTCAAATTTTGAGCTGGAGAAAAGTTTAAGTTTTTCATAAATAAATAAGTTAATAAGTTCGGTTGTTTAGAATTACAATTCTTATTCAATATACCGCACAGAGCTCAAAACAGTGCAAGCAAATATGACGGCACAGCTTATCGTTCATATTTCTTTGCAATCCTAAAAGTATTGTAGATCTAAAAGCCCACTGGTGTTCAAACCAACTTTCCCGCTTGTCCCTTGTGTGGCAGACGTGCAGGGTAATGAAGTCGGACACAAAGGGCTGGCAGAAGTAATCAAATTTCCATCCAAGGCTTTTGTTGTCCACTGGCCTTGTGAGAACATGTATAAATTGGACACGTATAATCACTGCATGAAATTAGATCTTAAGTAATTAAACACCTTAAAGGATGCGTAAATGTCCTGTTTCTTCACTGTAGTTGGAAAATGGAACCTTTACATAGATCTAATTTAATTACGATTAAAGATAGAACTTTTTTGCAGTGAATGAAGTTTCACCTGGACACAAGAATAACTCCAGACGGACCGGACTATGGTGAGACTCCAAATCATTTTCAGATATAAAATATCATAAATCTTGTCTACAATCTCATCGTCATCATCACTTGATAAAGTTACTCCAGTATGCCGTATCCCTCAAAGCTGACACTAGAACAGTCCCTGCGAGACCAGTGTCTCTCTCTAACACGGACAGAAGTGTAGTATAACGCCGTCCCACTCTACGTCTCCCAGGCCAACACATTATTAATTAGACGCTACTGGAACTACATTGTAGGTACGTTATGTTAGTTCCATCAGTCTGCAGAACGCACTACAGAAAAGGACGGACAAGACTGGTCTGTAATGACAATTGTTCCTATGATTTCTGGCTAATGGAAATGAAAGAAAAGAAAACTGGTATAGTTTTGATTTAAAAAATGTCTTCACTTTATTTGCATAGTCAATCAATAGTTTGTGCTCATAAACCTGCATTTCTCCTCTGGTCTCTCAGTCACTGACGAAAGCTAGTGGATACTAGCTGAAACTTCTGACGTTTTTAAAATCATATCCAGTTGCTTGAGTAACTGCTTTTTGGCGTATCGTATTACCTGGATGTCTAACATTCATCGACGGAGTTTTGATTTTGTATACATAACACCGAGCATTTTAGGCTATCTGTGTAATAAACCCTTGCCACGAGATAGAATGAGTATATGTGAAATACTAGTGAAGTAACAACGTGAAAGAGTTTTGCTCCTTTCAGCTTTTTGATAGGATTCGAGAACTAAAACGAACACTTTTGATATGAACCTTCAAACACGACTTCTGTCGCAAACGTCAAGCATCAAACGTTTATACTCTTCATACTTAAAAAGGTACTGCGATATCTTTTAGCCAGAATTGCCATTAATTTGTTGTTATTTGTAGAGGTACATTGTACGCATCCTATCGTCAGTAATTATACGTATACATGTAAATATGTATACGAATAATTACTGACGATAGGATGCGTACAATGTACCTCTACAAATAACAACAAATTAATGATTCAGTCAAAAATTCCGGTGAGTGAAATTTATGAGTTAGAGAACAATTCAAACTTTTCGTAACAAGATTTCATACTTCACGGAGGTCTGAGATCTCCGAATTCTTGCTAGCATTGACGTGCATGTGAACCCGCATACTCCCATCCCCGCTGTGGAAGATAGTTGCTCGGCGTTTAAAGCTGAGGTCACATAACTATCCACAAGGCTAGCGCTGTACGCAAAGCGGGCTATCACTCATCTTCCGTCCGCTCAGGAGAATAACAAAACCTCCGCTGTACTGCCGAATGGTGACGAAGGATGCATGTCCCAGTCATTGCATATGACTGTCAGCAACTCCCCTTACACTGAGTCAGATTCCCTCAACAACTATTTCACTGTCTTACTGATTTGATGTCATGAATTTCTAGTTTTGTTTGAGGTGATGGATTTACTGGCTAGTTGACGCTGGCCGGCTGTAGATGGCGCCCAGATGGTAGTGTAGCGGTTAATTACTGTACAAGTACGACCTGCCTGATCATTACACAGCCTCAGCTATATCTGCCTTCTGAGTTGAACCCCGGCCAAGGCAAATACACACACACAATCTTGTACGTAGATTATAATTAGTGGCTGGCGATGCTAGCGCTCAGCGCCAGATGGTACATTCTGAAGCGGGAGAAAACGCTACAGGTTGCCGCCTGATGTTTGTTTCATCGCGTACTAGTGAAAACGCCTTCGGGGGAATTTGGACTCAATTGATGAAAAGCACCAACAATGTAAACATGCCAGGGATGAGTTCTATCTAAAATATCTTCCCTCTTTGTTTATATATAATATTATCTATTCCCTCTAGATAATAATGCATTTGATTGGCATAGAGATGAAAACATGTCAGAGGAGTGTTGCTTTTCTTATATAACACAGCAGGTTCACAGCATTGGTGAAAAATACGGGCGCTCAGAAATAAGAAAATATTGCGCTTTAACATGGCAATTTAAAACAAATAGTGATTACCACATGTAAGTTTATACTTGTATTCTACATGCCCCAGTCCTCACCCGTTAGAACGTTCTGGCGCAGGTTGAATACAAACGATAATGACATAGTCACACATGTATGAGTGGCTTACCTGTGGACTGAAGGCACGATCTGGCACGGGCGCACACAGACAACACTACCATGACCACCAGCCGTCCGTACGGTAACAGTGGGAGGTGTGCTGCCATGTTGGCTGTTGTTGCAGCAGTCTTGTCCTGAGGGGAGCTGTTCGTGATAAGGTTCTCAGTGATAAAGACGTGTAATCACTCCGCGTGCACGTCACCCAACAAGCCCACTCCACTCTAATTGGCCGGCGGGCGCCAGTCGCACGCAGAACCCAGGCTACTTTACTGTGCTTCCCACGTCTCCAGGACGATACATGCACACACGCGCTCTGCCCTCGATCCTGCGGACTAGCGGCGTGCTGTTTCACTGTCAGGCCGAATAAAGGGATTCAGATTCTAGGAGAAGGCACGGCGACCTTGTCTGTGCCTGAGACCCGCGGCGGGTTGAGATATCCCCGGTATCTCAGATCGCAGTTACAGGATAAAGTCTACGTCTGCACCATTGATTATCCAGTTTTAGATCGTGACAATCGTTTCAGTCCATATACAATACCCCCTGAAGGATGTCAAATATTCGGGGTGAATAAAAGCCGTGTAAACAGAGCTCTGTGTGGGAAATCTCCGCCTTAAGCGTTAAATACGAACCCTAATGTCGCCAAACACTGATTTATTAGTGCATGCTGGGATAGGGTCGTTAAGCGTAGTAGAACACATTATCTCACCCATGGGAATTTACATTGTTAACAAACTACAAAATGACTGACACCAACGTTGTTGAAATTATAGTACGGTGCACTAGAGAAGATAAAAAAACGGATATGTTACAACGGGTATGATCTATAAAATGTAAGTGTTTTTATTGCCACTTGACGCCCAATTTAAAATGGCGTCTAGCGGATTTTAGCGGAACTGCAGCCAACTCACTCCGAAAGGCAGTTGCATCTCCCCGCAGGTATGGTAAACTTCACACTCAAATTTATACGATTTAAAAGTCTGTTTATTAGTCTACTATTGACTGATAACTGTGCATTATACAGAAAGGTATCCTCCATTCTTGTATGCAAGATACGTTTCCAGTTTTACTACTTTAAGATATTTAGAAAATTCGTATTCCTTATTAAACTAGACAATATATCATAAGCTCTATATTTTCATACAACTTTTTTAAGAAGCGAAAAGTTGAACAACTGTATACAATAATTCACGTTGGTTTGTATAGTTTAGATAATATATCACTGCTATTTTTACTTATACATATACATGACCTGCACATAGCTAGCAAGAGAATAAACATAACACACAATAAACATATTTCATTCAAACATTATAATACTGTGTTTTGCAGCTATTTCGTATCGCTCGCTCTTGTCATGGCGGATTTGTCGTAAATTATTTCCACACAAAGTCACGGTCATCAACCGTCTCATCTTCAATTTTCTGCTAGAGCACCTCTGACTGACTCCTCGCCGCCATAACAGCGAAAACACATCCGCCATGATGAAATTAATCCCTCTTATTAACATTGATGGCATGAAATGTTGACTTCATTATCCCAGGAACTAAATGTAATAACTTGTGAGAAAGAGACAAACGAGGAAGATAAAGAAGGACTGAGCTTAGGCCACAGCAAGTAATTTTTATGGATGACATCAGCGCGCGCATTAATTTTCACCTGATTTTGGAAAAAAAATTGTCGCCCTCTTTGTTGTCAACGTGCCGAAAATGGGTGAAAATGGCATGTCATGTCATGCTGGAACGTGGATGGCAGATAAATATGAAGGGAGACAAAACAACGCTCTGATTTATTGTTTTGACTTTCACTTTGATGCAGCGGTGTATTTCATTGCTTTTATATATTCCCACTGAATCAAAACCATTCGTACAATTGAAAGCTTTTATTTTTTAAAGTTGTTTCAGTGACGAATGGATGTTGTAATACTAGTAGTTGGCAGTTGAGTTAGCACAATGTAGGTTTCAGTTTTTGCTTACCAAGGTTTATGATTTCAAATTGAAAATGTAGGAATCTTGTTTTTTGGGCCCGCTCGCATTAGATTTGGAGTCTGCGGAGGATGTCATCCATAAAATTTACTTGCTGTGGCCGTCAGTAATTAACGAGACAGATTGATAAGTAGCGTCTTTCTTCAATACAAGAAGCCCAGTTCTTAAAGTGTGCTTTGTTTTTCTTGCAAGAAATTGTACAATTATCGACCCCGTAATTCTGATAAAAATATTTGGATGCCAGAGCGATATTATCCATAGAAGTCAATGACGCCTAAAATCAACATTGTGTAGAAGTTAATGAGGGAGAAATTTTGTATAGGGAAGTTTTACTGTTTATAGACGTACGTTTGTATGGATTTCATACGATATGAAATTGCATTTAAAACGTTATCAAGCTAGGTTAATCTGGTATATAAACTCAACACGAATTCGAAAATAAGTCTCAGAAGCGGCTTGTAATTACGACAACTTTGTCAAAATAGTTTGATACATTTTTTTATTAGTATTTTATTTCTTAACTGCTACGTTAAAACTGTGCAACTTGTACTGCCTGGACAACATCATTTTCATATTTGCCATATTTTCAGAGGTTGAGGGAAAGGTTCGCTATTAGATCTAATTGGTATAGATTAAAGGCTAAGTTTCACTAATATATTTATAGACAGAGACTTTTTTCTGTAATGTGCTACTGTAAATGATAGCATGGTCTGTAACATTACAATAACACTCCATTGGTTTACAGCAAATGCAAGGTTCTAGCTATATATACTGAGAAGTCCTGGTGGTAAAAGAAAGATGCCGGTGTACTCTTGTTTTGGATAACTGGAGGTTGTTGTCAGTGTTTAGGCCGACCATGTTGTCTGGGAGATTGTTCCAGATGTGTACTGCAGTATGTATGAAAGTTCTGCCGGTGGCGTGAGTTCTAGAGACCGGCACAGTGAGGGCATGTTTTCCAGTGGAGAGACTGCTGCGGGTTGTGCGTCTGATTGTATAATATGGTTGGGGAAGCATTTTTTTCAGGTCTGGTGGGCATGTACATGTGGACATGTGCATTTTGTAGATCAGAGAAGCAGCGGCCACCTACATCCCCACATCTTTGCCGGTGTCGTGGCGTCGGCAGCGCAACGGTTAGCGCGTTGGACTCGGAACCAATAGGTCCCGGGTTCGATACTCACCATGGCCCGACGTTGTGTCCTTGGAAGAGGCACTTCACACGACTTCCCCACCTGTACGATGGAGTGACGCCCACCGAGCCTCTTAGTCTAATCTGTCTAACTGTGTGCCAAAAACACATTACAGATTTGGTGCGCCGATGTGACAACATCAGCACATTTTCCACTGAGAGCCGTAATTTTTTTTTGCCAGTGTCCAAAAAAAACTTTTTGACTATTTAAGACTATTTCCGTTGTTGCAAAGAGTGCGAAATCCTAACTTTGAGTCCGTGACTGGTATGATGAAAATGAACCTGTGACCTCAGACTACACCGAACCCTGCACGACCTCATTTCGGAGCGTAATTCAGTTGTAGTCCTGTAGACACACTGCCCGCCACCGCATGATTACATTACCCACGGGTCGGAATCTGTTAAGGACTGGACCGCAATCTTGTGGAGTGAAAGCCAATACGAATATGACGTCACTAACGACCTTTCCTTTGGCACACTGCTAAGCAACAGTTCCTGTATGTAGAGTATGAATATCACTTGCCTTCTGCAACTGCAATATCTGGGCAGTCTTACACATCCATCAAATGCTTTTGAATGGTTTAGTAATCAACGTTACTGCTAGAAGTACCTTCAATATCACTTCAGAGTTCATAACCTTTACCCATTCTAACTTGGACTTTTGAGACTCTATGTTGCGGCGTGCGTTGTTTTTAAAAAGTTCTGAAGCCATAATAACTACAGTTTAATCAAACATGAAATCCCTGTTAATAGCACTTCGGCAGAATTGCACAGCACCTCTCTCTCTCTCTCTCGCACACACACACACACACAAACACACACACATACACACACACACATACACACATACATATACACACAAACACTGTTAACTAGTAACATTGATATAGCAAATTACACCTTTTTTATGTCAAACAAACTTAACGTATACGGGAGAAACCCGGAATTTTCCGCAGGTTTTCTTGGATATAATGGCGCAACAATGCATAAAAAATTCCCGGTTACGGAAGATGTTTCTTTTGATACAACATTTGAAAATTATAGACGGGACTTCATCCCTAAATATAGAAATGCGTCATTATTTAAATGAGATGTTCTGTCGGAGTGCTATACACAATACATTATTAGTTTCCCGAAGGCATAGTAAGTTCTGCCGACATGCTGATCAAATGAAGTTATTGCCCCACTGGATACACATGTTGGTAACTTTCCACAATGTCTGTATGTTAGCGGAATGAGATGTGTCCACATGTGATCACGTTCCATCTCGCTCTGACTTACACTAAGGACACAGTAAGTACATTTTATGGATGGCATCCTCCGCAGACTCCAAATCTAATGGGAGCGGGCGAAAGAATACAAGGTGGTCAAAAAACAAGGTTCCTACATTTAAAAATGTTGACTCAATCATGGTACAAATGCATGATTTTGATTCAGTGGGAATATCACATATACATAGCCAGCATCACATATCACTGCATCAAAGTCGGAAACAAAACAAGATATCAGAGCCTTTTCTTGTCTCCTCTCTCTATAGTTATCTGCCATCCGCCTTCCGGCATGGCAACAGACATCTTTGCCCATTTTCAGCATGTTGACCACTGTCAGAAGGCAGCATGTTCTGTCCAAAATCAGGCGAAAATTAATGCACGCTCTGATGTTATCCATAAAAATCACTTGCTGTGGCCTTACTCCGTGACTCACCACTAGAGAGTGCAAATGGACTCCTCTTCAGTGTACGTCTCATCGAGATGCTGTAGAAGAATATTATCCTGAGGGCGCCAAAAACTGACTCTTCATTTCAGTCACCCTTTTAACTTTTCGTTTGAAATGGCTGACTACAAATATGGGAGTTACATTAGGCTGAGATGCATGGGGATATTTCTTCAAAACATATTTATAAACTGTTTATTTTACTTTTTGTCGTATTATCTTGATGTACGTTAATTATTATTACACGACATGTTATGATTTTACCATTACCTTTTTTCTATTTGTTACAGTATTTTTTTTCTACTGTAGTATACCTACAGGACACACTGAAAAACTTGGTATATAGATAACATAAGAGTTAGCGCCCATCCTCTCCTCTGGAAATAGAGAGAGGCCGGTATAGAAAGAATGTATACACCTGTATGTGAAAGAATTTGTAAATATTGTAGTGCAAAGGCTGTGGAAGACGAAATACAATTTATTTCAAACTGGTTGTTTTATAACAACGCTCGAAATGAGTTGACTATTCAAACTTCTACAATATATCCCAATTTTACTAAACTTACAGACAAAGAAAAAACTATTCTTCTTTTAACTTCCCGAAATCCACTAATTTTGGAAAAGGTGGGACATTACATCCTCCATGGTTTAAAAAAGAGAAGTCAAACCCCTCAGACATCGTTTT